ATTATTGTCAATTAAGTTTTGTCATTTGTGCTTCTCATGCATGAAAGGTGCAAGACATCCTGAGGACCTCACCTGTCTGTTCACTGTCAACAAGCTGGCAGTGTCTAGTTCTGTTTATGTATTCAATTAAGAGTGTCAAATGTGCACCATAGTGATGTGTCAAACACAACCTCACCAACAACAGGGCTAATAAAGGGAGGGAGAGAGTGAGTGAATGTGCAGAAGGAGAGAGAAAGACTGCAAGAGATGGAGAGAGAGCAAGGTAAAATAACCAGGGCCATATCTAGGTCCAGGCTTCTTTTCCTCCTTGCTAACGAGCTGTCAGATCAAAGTAATGCAGGACAAAGACAGGCTTCCTCTCTCTCTCTCCACTCCTCTTTTCACTTTTCAAACCTTCTGCACCCCACTCACCCCTCACCATCTCCCCTTCTCCTCCTCCTCACCAGCAGGTGACTATGGCCCTCACTACCCTGGATTCCCAGAATCTATGGCTATAGACAAAAATATGGATTTCTCTCTACAATGGTATGTTATTACTCTCAACCCTTATGGTTTGTATTAAACCAAAATAATAGATGTGGTTCTGGAAATCATAGCTCAGCCCACAGTAGGATATTATAGGACTTCTTCCCCAGAAATAACACGTTGAGTTCCACTCCCTTCCCTTCAATCCAACTGGATCTCAAACATCGATAAATACAGTATACAAGACAAGCAAAAAAAAGACCTGAATTTAAAACATGGAAACAGCCACGCTTCTTTATTTTCGTTTTATTGCCTGTCATCAATTCCACCCTTCATACACACACACACACACACACAGCCTCCAGTGTAATCCTAACTTGCCACCTTGAAGGATGTAATTAAATAGAGTCAGACATGAACGCACATCTTTTAGTCTAAATATATCTCTTTAAGGTGGGGGGGGGGACACACAGCGCCCAGGAGGACTGGCACTGACAGACACTCACGTAGAGAAAGCCCCCCCCCCCCTTCTCTTTCTCTCTCTCCCTCTCTCTCTCTCTCCCTCTGTCTCTCTGTCCTCTCTCTCGCTCTCTCTCTCTCTGGCAGTGACAGGCAGTCAGGTAGACAGACAGTGCCAGCTCTGTGCTCCAGCATGGCAACTCAAAGCAGATGTGAGCTGGGCCTCTTGTTCCTCCTGATTAATGTCCTCCAGCACTTTACTACTCACGACTTCAAATGGCCGTCTGATGCCTGTAAAAAGGAAGATGCTCAGATGCCGCGGCAGTGTTAACATTACAGCTGCTGGATCCCATTCAAACATGGCCTCCTCCGTCCATGACTGATCGCGTGACACAGTTTTTTGTATTGATTGCAATGACGTGAAAACAAATGACTATACAGAAGACAGGGAAACGGAAGGGGTGGATAACCCTGTTTTTGTAGTACAGTAATATTGTATTAAAAAAGAAGTGGTGGTGTTTCTCAATCATTCTGAATGGTTTGTTGAGTGTGGCTTCACAAGTCAATATTATGGCTGCTATTGTGCCATACCACCCAGTAGCATGTGTTACACTGGGACCAAATAAGTAAGGAAAATGTAGAATCCTCTGTACTCCTGAGTGGCGCAGTGGTCTAAGGCACTGCATTGCAGTGCTAACTGTGCCACTAGAGATCCTGGTTCGAATCCAGGCTCTGTTGCAGCTGGCTGTGACTGGGAGACTCATGGGTGGTGCACAATTGGCCCAGGGTAGGGGAGGGAATGGCTGGCAGGGATGTAGCTCAGTTGATAGAGCATGGTGTTTGCAATGCCAGGGTTGTGGGTTTGTTTCCCATGGGGGGCCAGTATAAAAAAATATGTATTCACTAACTGTAAGTTGCTCTGGATAAGAGCATCTGCTAAATGACTAAAATGAAAGGGTCCTACATGGAACCGAAAAGGGTTCCTTAAAGGATTATCCTATGGGGACAGCCGAAGAACCCTTTTATGTTCTAGATAGCACCTTTTCTTTTAAGGGTGTAGACGCTGAAATGACGTCTGTGCCAAGTGGGATGTGTAGTGTTTTTATTGATAGATAGATGGAGGACGAGAGAGAGAGAGAGAGAGAGAGAGAGAGAGAGAGAGAGAGAGAGAGGAGAGACCTGACAGATATCACACCGTCTCTTCTGCTACAGGGTGATTAACTTTTATGTGCTGGGATTTATTTATTTGCCAAATCTACTGTGAGAAATCAATGAAGCAGCTCTGACTTATGTATGTTTAATATGATATGTATCACAAACACTACATGAACGTCGATCTGCACATATGCCTCTGAATGCATCCCCAACCACCCCAGCCCCCTCAGCCACCGACCCGCCTGGCCATCACTCACTCTGTTTATCCTTTATTCTCCAACCCAGCAGCGTGGATCTCATGCCAAGTATCTCAGACCATCATAACAGTCATAACAAGTATCACATTACTGATGTTGAGTCAGAGACGCTGAAAGGCTGGGGCGCAGGAGGGAGCAACAAAGCCGACCCTACCCTGATCCCATGCCCGGCCCACCCAGTGTCCAGTGCCCCGCGTCGCTCTTTCATGGTCTACCCAAGCCTGATGTGTCTCTCAGGC